CTAGGCCTGGGTCTGAGTAAGCAGGCATATCCTGCTGTCGCCCTACCAACACACAGCATTACAGACCATTCGGCTAAGGTCATGCTCAGCAAACAGTAGCAATTGACTCGTGATCGTCCAGCAGCGATTAATTTCACAACACTATCGTCATACGGTATGACGATAAGGTGTATACGGAATGACGATGATGTAAGATCCAAATCAGGCTCCGAACATACCATCACAGGTATCAATGCGCATTTCAGAATTCGATAATTCTATAAGGCCGGCTCCAGGTTTCGTACCAGGGACCTGCCGGATGATAACCTTCCCCTATTACCAAATGGCCTACGGCCAAGTGTTCTTTAGTAATCACAGCGCATACCCCAGTGCTGGCCGCATAGTGAATTCCCTCAGCACCACATAAGTGCATCAATTCAACGTCTGATCTCACAAACCTGATCAAAACCCCGAGAATCCTACCAAACAGGATCCTAGTCGCTAACAGGGAGAATTTTGCCTATAAATGAAGACATGAAATGCCTGGCCCGAGGATCGAACCGGAGACCTCCAACGCTACATATCGTTCATAGCAGATTCCAAGCAGCACTTCTCCCTCATCCACTTCCTTTTGGACCGACTCTCGTTGGCGTCTTTCTCGAGGGTCTCGAACTCATTCCATCCCCTTGTATGTACCAGATGACCGAACACTAGTCGCTTCACATTCTCTGCTGCGAAGTCCCCTGAAGAGAATATCAACCGCACAATATGGCTCAGAAGCACTCAGTCGCGAAGTCTCTACGTCATTGAGAGCACTTCGGTAACCGAAACCCGGACAAGAGCCTGGTTCGATCCCCATCACGCTCATCTCACCTGCTGTGCCATCAAACAGGCCAAAACCACAAGCTCCAGTCGACCCAAGGCTCGGGCATATTGTGAATCGGTCCTCCTGTGTTCGCCGTCCTCCAATATGGGTAAAAGCCGAGACTTCAAATGCCGTCCCTGGGATTCGAACCGAAGACATCATGTCGTGCTGGATGGAAGGGTTCATAAGCGACCCTTCAAATTCAACACGAAAACTGCCAAACAAGTTCCTTCCTTCCCCATAACAACGCGAACCGTCCTCTCAGAATGAACTCATCACTTGATGTTGAGCTTGAAGGATATATCTCATGCTAAACTTACGTAATCAGCTCACATTATGTGAAACACGCAATGCCGTGAGGAGTTCACGTTGTATGAGCTTCAAGACCATGTTCCAGCCGACAGGGTCAAGTTGCTGACTACGTACGCAGAGGCGACTCTTTATTAACTACTCCTTTTGAAGTGCTTGATACACTTCGTATGTCGAGGGGAACTCCGAACTAGTTCGCTGCGGGAATCAAGCACGTGCGCGTGCGGGGTAGGCCACTAAGTCAATGATGTACTCATCGAAGGGAGTTGGTCTCCAATGGCGCTAGGCGTCTGGGGAATGTTTTTGGTCCGCCCGTCCATCCCAGGATGGTCGTCCAGGTACGAGTGTCTCATCCCCCACTGGCCGATTCGCAAGCTCTTCTCACAATGTTACGCGAGGTCGCGGACGAAAACCGGGGACAAACTACTCCTGACAGCGCCCTGGAGGCTAGCGGACATTATATAACTGAATAGAATATTCGTTGAGCGGGACCAAACCGCGACAACTGAGATACTACCAATTGAAGATGGCGTATATCCTCATCAGCTTGTTGTCGCAGCTCCTGGAAGGCCCGTTCCGCCTGCTCCTTCACCTCCTCCAATTCCTCCCTCGGTACGAGGCCGCCTTTCGAAATGCGTCGACGAGGGGGCGGCAGGGTGGATTGTGTATCAATAAAAATGGGAAGTGATGGCATAGCTGCCCCAGCGAGGAAATTGATTGTACTAAGGCATATCTTGGTGTGGCATAGCTGCCCCAGCGAGGAAATTGATTGTACTAAGGCATATCTTGGTGTGGCATAGCTGCTCCAGCGGGGAAAATGATTGTACTAAGGCATATCTTGGAATGGCATAGCTGCCCCAGCGGGGAAATTGATTGTACTAAGGCATATCTTGGAATGGCGATAGCTGCCCTAGCGGGGAAATTGATTGTACTAAGGCATATCTTGGAGTGGCATAGTTGCCCCAGGGGAGAAAATAGATTACACCAAGGTATATCTAGTCCTTTTTGACAGCTTTCTTCAGCACATAATTATATATACTCGCAGTTCTACGACAAACCCCTCCAGCATAGGCGTATACTATGATGTCGGAATCACCACATGCTAACACCGCCTCCCACGCGCGAACAAGCTGGACAGCAGTAATTCCCCTCCCATGAATAGATATCCTAATCGATCGGATTTTCACCTTATCGGCGATCCCACTGATACCTTCGCCGTTGTTCGAATTGGCCGCAGTGATACCAGCCATTGCTGGACCGTGGCCGTGGCGATCCGTGTCATTCTCTCCATGTCGCCCAGTAAGGTCAATCTCCTTGAGGAGTCTCCTATCGAACTCAGGATGTTCGGCTTCAATACCGGTATCCATTAAGCTCACGATTAGTTCCCTACATTGGAGGCCCGAGTCCCACGCTATTGTATGCCAGATGTGAGAGATACTAATCGGCTCCACGAGTCGCACTTAGTTGTTCGCGCATACTAATGTAATGGGTCAGGCCGCTCTAACTTACAGCCTTCAAGGAAGACTAGTGCGGCAGGTTGAAGAAGGCTAGACGGCATAGTAATTTACTACTATGCGTTTACGTGCTACTTTCGCACGCAGACCCAAGTTCTGGTATAGATCCTTTAAACATTTCATGTTGTGTTGAACATACTAGCAGGTAGTGTTGTTCTAACGTTAGAAATTTCCAATCTAACGGTTCTACATGAAGACGATGCACGCTTGTGGTTTATGTTATGGTATGGTTCCGACCTATCTTACACATATCGTAGGGTGATTCAAGGCACGCTTCACCGCATCGCATTAGTTATTGGGGAGTGTTGGGTGAGACTGAGTGTCAGCCAACTAGGCAGCAGAGGGCGGTGATAATACCGAACCTCACAACACGCCGTGCATTGGCTTAACACCACAGTCACATTGCCTAGCACGCAGGCACATAGGCAATGTCCCCCAAACAACTAGTGAAGGCAAAAGAAAAATTCCACGGTAGAACCGGCTCGAAAGGCTCCTGGACAGCCAGATTGCTGTCACTTCAGTCTCGACCGGTTGCACCACTTTCTGGTTCGGGTCGATCACAATGGCGTGCGCCACGCACGCCCGAGCGATACTTGTTACGCTTGCTTGAATTAACCCCATGCAAGCCTGGACCTTCACAGAAGCCGAAAAGTCTATAGCTATTCAGGCTTATGGCGTGCGCGCTCTGCAGTGTACGACTCGCTCTCGCCCGACCGGTTCATATACTTCTGGGGGTTGAGTCCTTGTGGTGAGGACGAAACACTACCTTGAGAGACGATTGGTGTTGAGGTAACAGACCTTAAAGTCCAACCGATCCTTCGCGACCGGCAAAATAGTCCAGTATACTCAGTTGTGGACCCTAGTTAAGGAAGGGAGCTTAGATTTAACATGGTTATTAAGTTTGTTTCCATAAGGGTTTAGGTGATTAATAACTGATCACATCAAAGTTCTTTAAAAGTCTTTACTGTGGGTTGTTATCTTCCATCTCAATGTCTGAGTCTGATCACGAAATAGAAATGCTGTCCGTTCAATCCATTGTTCGGATCTGATCAATGTATTTGACCTGTTTGCACTCAACCCCACTAACCATTGTATCATTATATCCGCCCCTGCATTGAGTTCTACTCCACCGCAAGCCTTCGACCAGCACTTCCTTTACAAAACATAGGGAATAGCGAATCGCTATTACACTTCGAACATATATCGCTATTAGCGCTGTAACGGATCTTTGTACAGTTGGGATATTCACCCTAACACTTGGAAGGCTCCCCTTAAGGAAAGCGTTAGGGTCCCTTAAAGTGGAGGTGTTCTTAAAGGGCACTAAGCAGTGGCTTCTTATAACAATTTAGAGCCTCTATTCAATGTCCTTGAGGAATGAGCCTCAGAAGCATTATGCTGGTAAGACTCAGCTTACTCATTGGTGTGAGCCAGGAGTAGGGCTTACTGATTCGATGAACACCATTCCCTGAATCGCTTAATACGAGTTCACTCAACACTTATGTGATAATGCTTTGCAGTTTTGGTATTATTTTCTTCTCCCTTATGATCAACAGTTTTCTCGAATCGCTTGAGCCTGTAGTGAGTGATAGTGAGAGTAGTGACACTGAGGAGAGACGGGTAGGGATACTTCAGATCGCAGTGATATACATTCACTGGGTATATAGAATCATAAATATACTAAATTTTCTCATTTTACTGCAATTTTCCTTTTTTTCATTAAATCTTCCCTGTTCAACTCTGCTCCTTCTACGACAAGGCGAATAGGAGTGGCGTAGGTATAGGGATGTAACGCTACGTGGATAAGAATATGTACTGTTGCGTATACAACGTGAATCACGCCGGTTTATGATGCTTTGGTTTGGGAATATTTCTTTCATTCCTGAGAGCAAGACTATATACTATGAAATGGTTTTAGGATGACATTTTCAATCGACTCACATTGGTATGATGCTGATTCCAATGAGTAATAAGTTTTGAACCGTCGTCAGAATCGAAGTCATCGGAAATGTTCATTTGTATCATGGCTTGGTTCAACCTGTAGGTTGAGAAGAAGCCATCACATGTACGTGTGTATGGGAGGGGAAAGATAGAGTGTGTTGACAGGCTGCTGGTATGCACGTCTATGGCAGCTGCTATAAGGTGCGGGGTTGAGGGCTTGTCTATGGAAGGTAGTAGTAGTAGTAGTAGGAGAGGATTGCTCATGACTTTGATGACGACGCATGGATGGTATAGATATTGTTAGAGTGAAGTTTGTCGATTTACGGTATGGTGTTGGACGTGGTAATTCAGTCGGTAGTCGTGATAGTTTGGAGGACAAATTATAACAATTCATGCGTACAAGTTGAGCTTAAAATTATAGCAAGTTATTAGCGGAATTTCATCCTTGTTACTCAAACACAAAGACATTTCGTATTTGCATTGCAAAACAATCTGCATTCGTTTAACAAATGCGCTCGTTGTAACAAATTTTGTAACAATAAGTGCATAACGTTCTGGCCCAACAGTTCATGTTGGCAGGGTGTAATGAACATACTGGTCGAATGTGTAGGTAGAAAGGCGAAGCAGTAGAGGTCAACGAGATGGCCAATCATGAGAGAATCGGTTGTTGAACTCGTAACACAGTGACGCTAATATTTCTGATGGCGCCGTATTGGGATATATCGTTATAATCTATCATATGAATAATGAATTTATTGTTTTATTAATAGTCAATATGTATTTGTTTCTATTCCTTTTTTATGGACGATTTATGGTATGATGGTTTTTAGGTGGAACGGATGGCTTGAGAGTTGATTATGTCCCCTCTACGTCTGATGCTGTGTTGACTGTCCCTCCTCGATGCGATGCAATGGATTTGGAAGCACTAGTATGGGATAAGCTGAGACCAAAAGAAGTGCGTGTTGTGATGACGAAGGAAGTTAGTAGCACTAGAGGGGAAGACGGCATAGTGTAATGCGGAAGGTCCCGGGTTCGATCCCTGGTAAGGATATTTTTCCAGATATGTTCTCGGTGGGAATGATCATACTTCTAACCCATTACCATTAGGAGAGGCAATCGATGGATTAGTCGCTCGCATAATAACAGGGTGATATTCATCGTACTTTTTATGGGTGGAAAGCTGAAAAATCACCTAGAAAAAAATGACGCCGCTTTTCAGCTCCGTAGTATCTTTTCGTTTACCATCACATCTGTCTTTGCTGCTGGTAACAGTATATTGAATTTCTTACGTAACGTGGTCGCCACTGAATGGGATAAGTTGAACCATACTGCACTATTGTTATGCTACGCTTACTAGAGAGGCTCCCTTACTAGAGTTGTCTTTTGTAACTCCTTCAGTTCGATCGCCAGGAAGATCCAGATAACTGCGTTCGTGCTCTATCACGGTCCTCATTCCAGCTCCTCTGCTATCCTCAAGTTGGCTGATGCGTTGAAGACTACGGGTAAAGTTGATGTGCCGTGGTTGGTGAGAGTCGTTGTTCTCTTAGGGAATGGAAACTCGATTTGAAGAAAGTTCGGGATGGATTCCTGAATTGAGTCCATCGATTGACACAGAGTTTCGGTTTATATGTGA